GGCAGCGTTGCGCGCTTCAAACCTGGCAACCACGCGAGCTACGGGAACATAGTGCCCGTGCCACCATGCACCTCCCATCCTGCCAGCCTCTGGAGCATCGTGTCTGGTCCCCGTTTTATGTTGCCTCTGGACTCGTCTGGCGCTTCCCCGTCCGCCCATCCAGCCCCCCTTCCCCGCCACCTCGCCTGTATCCACATATGCTTCATTCTTCTAGGGAACACACCAGGGTAGGGGGGAACCATAAGCTAAGTCGCATTCGGGCTTTCAACAGAATGCGATGCAACACGCTGGAAGCAAACATGCCCGGTGCTTATGAGGACACCTGTTCTGCTGTCGCTCACTCACATGTGTCAGTCTCGACTCTCGATTTCAGTGTTTTGGGCGTGCCGGCCCATCCGTTATCCTTCCTGCTTCGCCGCCGTCTGGCTTCCCCTTCCCCCTCATCTTGTTCCGTGCTCTCCCTCTCTCTCTTCCCCGTGCTCTCTCTCTGTCTCTCTCTCTCTCTCTCTCTCCCTCTCTCTCTCTCTCTCTCTCTCCCCCGCTTTTGCTTTGTGCCCTTCCTGCCCCCCTCTTTCACCTGCCCCTCGCTGGTATCCACATCCATCCATCCTTGCCCTGGTGCTTCCCCATCCTTTGTCCCGGGTCACCCGCATAGTCCGCTTGTGCGGACTGGGAGTGGGCCAGAAACCCATCCGTTAGGGTACGGCACGACGCGTGCCGCCAGCAGGGTTCGCTGTGCTCCTCTACACCCCAATGGGTCACTCCATGATTCAAGCAGGAGCGATCCGAAACTCGCTGCGGGCCGTCAGGCCCGCAAAGACCACCTGGGGACCTTCCACCCCTCAAGGAAGCGTAAAGTCTCAGAGTCCTCCTCCCTCCTCTGACTCTATCTCTTCTCCTTGCATCGCTCCTCGAGAGGAGCGCCCCCCCTGGCCTCGAGCTTCGTCCAGGGCTAGCCCCTCGCCCCGGCGCTCACAAGAGGGGCCCTGCGCTCATCAGCGGTTGCCACTTGCCTTACGTAAGTTGGGCCTGTCCCTCCACAGGGGGAATATTCAAAAGTAGTCGAAACATAGTCTGGGGACGATTTGCTTTAGTCTGTTCGAGCATGTGTGGGGTATTTTTTGACTATTTGTAATCTTTCGCCCAAGACCCGCCTGGCTAGGGGGACAGGCCCGACCTGATGCTTGCCCCCCCCTCCTCCTCGACTTCGTCGTCGTTGTCGTCGCAGACCTCCTCCTCCGCCCGACGTGGTGGTGCTCGGCCTGGTGTGCGCCCTCCTGCCGAGACGAGGAGGTCGGCCGAGCGCTCTGGGCAACGTGGGGGGAGAACGATCTGTGAGCAAAAGTGCACTGCAAAAGTTAAGCCCCGGAAAACGAAATCGGAAACTGGACCATCTACTCGGGCCGAACGAAAGGGGGGGATAGGGAAAGGGGGGCTGCGAAATCTGCTGCATGCAGCTGGTTTCGGCCCCGCCGCCGGGCCCATCCCTCGATACATGGGCGCCTCCCGGCGGACAAAATCAGCTACGTGAGCTGATTCTCAGCCCCCCCCTTTGCTATCCCCCCTGTCGCCCGGCCCGATATACATTTCCAGTGGCGGGCTGCTTTCCATCTGAGGACTTTTCGAAGGTCGGGGACGACGTCGGGGGGTATGGTGTATACTTGTTGTTTCCGTTTCCCGAGGAAGCAACGAAAAATGTATACACCAGGATCCCGTATACACCAGGATCCGCTTCATTGTGCAAATTTCAGTGCAGGGCCGGAAAAATGTCGGTGTGTAGAGTTCGGTTCCCTAAAAAAGTTCTGGCGCCACGTGGTCCTTGAGGAAGCAGCGAAGTGCCTAGGAACTACAGAGGAGTTCAGAAGGAAGGGGAGGAGAACAGGAAGAAAGCCAGATATTCAGTTCCAACAGAAGCGCCTCCAGACGGTCGGTCGCTGCGCGAATTAAGAGCAAGGCGTCCAAAACCCGGGTAGAGGAGCAACCCAGAGTCCATGAAGGGCTGCAGCAGACGCTTGGAAAAGGTGTTTCTGGAGAAGTCGACCTTCGTTTAGGTCAGGCAGGTCCCCTTACAGGCAGACTCTGGGCGACAAATGAAACATACCCCAAACATACCCCCAACATAGCCAACATATCCTAAAGAAAATCGTCTCCTGATCATGTGTTTGTCTATGTTTGAATATTCCCCCTGTAGAGGGACAGGCCCGACGTAAACCTTCGTCGAGGGCCAGCCCCTCGCCTTGGCCCCCCCTGGTCGCGCGCCGCCGGCGCCCCTCGCCCGCCTCCCCGCCGACGCACCCGCGGAGGTCTCTGCTGCCGGCCGAGCGCCATGGGGGACGCGGTGCGGCAGGCGGTGGTCGACTACCTGCTGATGGGCCCGCCCGCCCGCCGCGGTGCTCGCTTGTGCTCAAGTGGGGCCTGTCCCGCTACAGGAGGAAGATTCAGAAACAGCATAATAAAATGATAGTCTGCGGACGATGTTCTGACGCATTGTTTTGGCATGTTTATTTTTCGTCCAAAGTCCGCCTGTGGGGGGACATGCCCGACCCAAGCTTGTGCCCTGTCGACCCGAGAAGAAACGACATCACCCCACCTGCGGCCCTCCATGCTGCGCTACGGCCCGTCGGGCGCCGCAGCGCGCACCAGGCGAAAAAGCGCACGCCTGATTTCCTGGTATACTTTAGGCTCCCCGGGGCCTTAGGTGGGGTGGTGTCACCTTGATCGAACGGACCTCACGGGATCCTCACGGGATCCCGGGACGCTCACCTTTCGGGGCCCAGGGTCCTCACGGGATCCTACCTTCCGGGGCCCAGGATCCTCACGGATCGATGCGGCTCGAGAAATAACGCGTAAAGGCGGGGATCGGGGGTTTTGGTAGTGTTTTGTTCACGATGTTGAGCGTTTTTCGCGCCGTCGGATCTCAGGGAGGACGAGGATACCTCGTTCCAGAGCGTCCTGGCACTCTCTCAGAGCGTTCTGGAGCGATCTTGCACGGCCGCGATGCGCGATACGGTCAGGAAGTTTGGTTTTACGTGTCGTGCCACCAGTTTTGGCCCGCCGCGCTTCGGCGCGACACGCTTAACTTAGGTCGGGCGCGTCCCCCATTAGAAATAAACAAAACATCACCCAAATAGCCAACACTAGTCAAAACATTGTCTCCAGACCTTCATATGTTTTTAGTTGTTTGTTTCTTTTTTTTTCAAAAGAAAAAATACTTCCCTGTAGAGGGACAGGCCCGACCTAACGCTGAACGCTTCCCAGTCCGCGGTGGCTCTGGCGACACGCGCTATCCGCCTGCAGGGCACACAGCGTGTCGCCAGAGCCACCGCCGCGACACGCTAATTATGCTTAGGTCGGGCCCGTCCCTCTACGGAAGGAATTTTCAGTAATAGTTCAAAAATAGTCAGGTGACGATTTTTCTATTATTTTTGAGTATTTTTTGACTATGCTGTATTTCTCGTCTAAAATCCGCCTGTAGGGGGACACGCTCGAACTAACGCTATGTACAAGTTCCTGCCCGTAGGACTGGGATACATCTTTCTGGAGCGTTCTGGAACTCTCTCAGAGCGTTCCTGAGCGCTCTGGAACGGCCGCGTCGCCCGATGCATCGGCCAGACCGCCGGATCCCCACGGATCCCCGATTTGTTCCCGTCCGCTCTTGTTCCGGTCCTGGCTTTCTGGCTTACTTGAAGTCCAGGGGGGGCATTTCGCTTCTGTCTCTGCTGGACCCCCTGGGGGGGGGCTTGTGACCGCAGCGGGACGCAGCCCGAAAAACTTGCAAGGATGGGCCACCGGAGGGGGTCGGGGGCGTAAGGGCACATCGAATCTCCACAGATTTTGAGGCTCAGGGAGGTTGCCAGACAGACTTCGGATGAGGCGGTTGCCCGAACCAAGCATCCGGGTCGGTTTGGGAGGTCACCGCGGCGATTGCGGCGGCCACAAACCGGGGCAATGCTTTTGTCGAGAAGAAGCATGCCCCTGTCCCCCGTCAGCGCCTGCTGTGCCGCCCCCCCTTGTCCCTTGCGCCCGGTGGTATTCATTCTGGCCTCGTTGAGCCTGGTGAGGCACCCTGGCGTCCAGGTGACTTGCACGTCGACCAGCTCTGGCTAGAATGCTTGCGTTTTCCTGGCCTCTGGTCCTCAGACACCGCCACAGCCTGGCCGTGTCCGCAGCTGCCGCCTGCATGGTGGGACGCGCCCCTACGTGAATTGCTCAGGAGTGGTTCAGCCTTCTTGTTCAGCCATGTGAGGTTGTTTATGTTGACATGCAGCACTAGTACGCTGGACTGCCCGCGCAGCCCCGCGGTTTACCAAGTTCGGTGGCACGTCTTCCTCTGGCGCCTGGCGCGACAAGGTACAATTCGTTCGTCTTCCGCGTGGTCTCGCCTCTGAGATGGCTGCACGTCGGCCGCCTGGCTCTCCTGGCAGCTCCTGCAGCCTGCCTTCAGCCCCCGGCGCCACTCAGCATCCTTCGGCGGCAGCTTCGGCAGCCGTGAGTGCGCTGGCTGGGTAATTAGGCTCCGCCCGTAGCCCGGGTCGACCTTGACGCCGCCTGCGCCTTCGCTTGCGGCTGCGACAAACAGTTATCCCCATCAGCCCACTCAGAACCGCTGCCGATGAGAGCTGATGGGAAACGGGCGAACGAGATCCTGGAGGGATGCCCAGGCGAGTTGCCTTTTTCGCGGAAGTGTAGAAGCGTGCAGTGGAACACATGCCCAGAGCGGTACGAGGAGGAGCAGGAGTAGGAGGACGAGGATGAGAATGAACAGGAGAATGAGCGCGGGAACGAGGAGGAGGAGGAGGAGGAGGAGGAGGACGACGACGACGAGGGCAAGAAGGAAGAGGAGGAGGAGGACGAGGAGGAGAAGGACAACGAGGAAGAGGAGGGATAGAACGAACATCAAGGAAACGATGAGGAAAAGGAGGAGGAGGAGGAGAAGGAGAGGGATGATGAGGACGACGACGACAAGGAATGGCAGCCATCCTGGGGTCTTTGTGAGCCTTTTTGGCGTCCTCTTGGGGCTGTGTCGGGGCCCTCTTTGGGCCCTGTTTGCGGGGTCTCGGGGCCCTCTTGAGATCTCCTGAGAGCTCTCCGAGGCTCCCTGGGCCCTCTGGGTGTCTTCACCTCGAGAGTGCGCGCGCCGCTGTGCGCGGCTGGCTCAAGACATGCGCGAGGTTTTTTTGGGCGCTGCTTGTTCCTCAGCAGAAAAAATGACGCGCGTGGTTTTCATTGCTGCAACGTTCCGTTAAGTAGATGTGAGAGTTCATTGTAAGACGTGCCCGCTGAAAAGGATGGAGTCCTGGTCTCGATGCGTTGCCTGCTGGTGTTCGAGTGTATCGTGACGCAGTGGCTTTTGCTGTTGGCATCGCGCCGATTTCACAGTCGGCTTATCTGCCGAGGGGGTGTCAGATTATAGCGTTCCGATTGGGTGAGCATGGTAAGCTAGTGGGACTGGTGCGGCATTGATTTGAGACCGTTATCGTGATACGTTAGGCTCAAGTACCAGTGCCCCTTTCGGGAAACATCTCATACCATATCTTCGGAAAAGGGGGAGCGGGAGGATGGGACACTTTGGCGTGATTGTAGCTCTTGCCATGCCTCCGAGAGAACCGGCCAGTGACCAACTGGGGGCACATCCTTCACAGGTGGCCGCCACTTGGACGACGCCAAGCTCTACCGCAACCACGAGGAGGTGGGCGAAGGGCTGCGGCAGGCCCGACCCGCGCATCTCGTATGGTGGCGGTGCTCCCAGAAGGGAGCCTGCACAAAAGACACGGCTTAACTTTGTCGGTCAAGGGCCGAGGAAGATGAAGCGGAGGGAAAAGATGAAGAGGAGGAGGAACAGGAGGCGGAGGAGGAGGACGAGGAGGAGGAACGTCGGATTGTGTTGAACTCTCATTTCTGAAGAATAATTATCGTTGATCCCCCCACCGGTGCATACGGTTTTTTCGCAGTCGAAGTGTGCCCCTCGACGCTCGCACCCGTTTTTTTTATCAGGGCATGTATTGAGGCTCAAACTGAGCCCGTGGCCCCCGGGTTACAACAACAACAGCTCCCGCCTGAGATTTCCTCACAATTTAGCCAGGACCCCCGCTCCCGCCCGAGACTTCCTCGCATTTGATTCAGGACTCGCGCTCTCTCTTGGGACTTCCTTACAATGTATGCAGGAATCGCTCTGCTGGCGCTCTGGAGTCGAGCTCTCGTTGGAAACGTGCTTGCAATTTACTGAAGAAAAGCGCCCTTGCGTTGGAATTTCCTGCAATTTACTCAAGGGCCGCGCTCCCGACACCCAGGCACCCAAGACTCGCGCTCACGCTTAGGACTCCATCACAGATTACCTAGGAATCGGGATCTCGCTGCCCTTGGTGGCCCTGTTGCAGCCCTTCGTGGCCCCCTTGCTTTGTTTTGTTGCCCCATTGCAGCCCTCCGTGGCCCCCTCGCTGCCCTTCGTAGCCCCGTTGCAGCCCTTGGTGGCCTTCTCGCTGCCCTTCGTAGCCCCGTTGCAGCCCTTGGTGGCCCCTTCGCTTTGTTTCGTGGCCCCGTTGCAGCCCTTTGTGGCCCCCTCGCTGCCCTTCGTGGCCCCGTCGCAGCCCTTCGTGGCCCCGTTGCAGCAGTTCGTGGCCCCCTCGCTGCCCTTCGTGGCCCCGTCGCAGCCCTTCGTGGCCCCCTCGCTGCCCTGCGTGGCCCCGTATATGTATGCCCTTCGTGGCCCCCGCTCGTTCGCGCCCGTTGTGGTCCCATATGCATGCCCTTCGTGGCCCCGCTGTCGCCCTTCGTGGCCCCCTCGCTGCCCTTTGTGGCCCCGTTGCTGCCCTCAGTGGCTCCGTCCTTGCCCTCCGCGGCCCAGTCTACGTATGCCCTTCGTGGCCCCCGCTCGTTCGCGCCCGTTGTGGCCCCATGTGCATGCCCTTTGTGGCCCCGCTGTCGCCCTTCGTGGCCCCCTCACTGTCCTACGTGGCCCAGTTGCTACCCTCAGTGGCCCCAGCGTTGCCTTCTGTGGCCCCGCATGATCTGCCCTTCGTGGCCCCCGCTAGTTCGCTCTCTTCGTGGCCCCATACGCATTCCCTTCGTGTCCCCGCTGTCGCCTTTCGTGGCCTACTTCGTGTCCTTGTGGCCCCGCTGTCGTTCTCTCTCGCTCTCGCTTTCGCTCGTCGTCGCCGTCGTCGTCGCCGTCGTCGTCGACGTCGTCGTCGTCGTGGTCGGTCCCCTATCCGTCCCTCTTGGGGTCGGATCGACGGTCCGCGGCCGCACCGCCGATCAGCGCTGCCGCTGGCCAGGCCGACGGTCCGCGGCCGCCCCGCCGCCTGCCGGGGCCCGGCCTGCAGGGAAGAAAAGTATACCTCCCAAAAGGGGTTCGATCGAAGTCGAATAGGGCGGGTATCGAGGGTTTGGGAAATACGCGCTATTGGGCACTCGAGACTCGAGCAGATAACGGCGAACAGTCTTAAAATTATTCTTGTTGTTGTTGTTGTTGTTGTTGTTGTTGTTGTTGTTGTTGCTGCTGCTGCTGCTGCTGCTGTTGTTGTTGTTGTTGTTGTTGAACACTATTACTTCTAAAGAATTATTATTGTTGGACCCCCTGGTGCACGCCCCCCGCCCAAAACCTAGGCCGCAGCTACATGTTCATCATTTTTCTGCGAAAGCTTCAGAAAAGTGGATTACCCCCGGATCCGGTTTTTTGTTGACGCTCGTTTTCCCTTGCAAAAAACAATAGAAAATGAAAATTCTTGTTCTTAGTTGATCAAATTTCAAGAATCCCTTGCAAAAAATAAGGTAAAGTGGACATTCGCGCTCGCAAGACGAAATCCTTCCAAAACCTTAGGTTTCGTAGCGATTTTAACATAAAAACATCAAAAACCCAATGGTTTTTTAAGAAAAAATTGTCAAAATGTCCTTCCGCGCGCTCTTGCGGATTCATAGGAAACACACCACTTTTTAAACATTTCTGTCAAAAGGGTCTTTGCGTGCTACTTCTTCAGGTGCTTTGAACTTCTCCAACAACGGTTGCGCGCCCCGAATAAGTGACCAAGTTCTGTGGGTGTGTACCCCACGCCAGTGTAGTAGCCACGGTCGTCCGCACGCCACGAAGTGAAGTGTCCCAACGTCATAGGGCGGGAAGCTGGGTTTGGGTGGTCGCGAAGAGTCGTTTGGATATTTGGTAGAGCTTGTAATGCCCCCCCACGAAGTGGGGGTATTGCCTGGTGTCGTATGAAAACCCTGGCACTGGGGAGAACACCACGCGTTCGGGTAAAATGATTGTTGTTGTTGTTGTTGTTGTTGTTGGTTTTTGTGATTCCTTCCGAAGCTGCCTCATCGGTTTTGGCGTGTGCGTCTGCCCGTTCTAACTTTTTGGTGGCTTCCCGGCGACCTGCAGAGACGTCTTCAGGCGCTGCTTGTACCGAGGTTTCTTGCCTCGGTTGGACCCGCCTCGAAATTCTGACCAGTGCGGCCGATGGACAGTTCCAGCACTTTGCTTGGGGGGTGTGGGCGGTCGAGGAAGAGCGTGGAGGCTTCTGTTTGTCCCCCTCGTTTCCAGAGACACCGCGTGTATTAGAGCTCGTGGCCTGATCGTGAAGAACTCTTTACGCCGCGCGTACGGCAGGTTCGCGCCATGTCTCCTCACCTCCTTCCTCCTCCCCCTCCTTCCTCCTTCTTCCCTTGCCTCTGCCCTCCGCATGTCAAACAGTTCGGCGCTCCCGTCACCCCCCTCACTTTGGCACACCCATGACGCGCTTCGTGGCCCCATAGGGAGCTCCACCGAAGGCCCTAGTGGCTGCGTTCGCACGCTGCCCCCCTCGCCCCCCGCACCTGGGCACACCATTCACTCGTTTCGTGGCCCCATAGGGAGCTCCACCGAAGGCCCCAGTGGCTGCGCTCGTATGCCGGCACCCCCCTCACTTTGGCACTCCCCTCACACGTCTCGTGGCCCCAGAGGGAGATACAACTAAGGCCTCAGTGGCTGCGTTCGTATGCCGCCACCCCCTCACATTGGCACACCCCTTCACACGTATCGTGCCCCCATAGGGAGTGACACCTAAGGCCTCAGCGGCTGCGTTCGCATGCCGCCACTCCCCTTACTTTGGCACACCCCTCATATGTTTCGCGGCCCCATGGGAGCTCCACCTAAAGCCCTAGTGGCTGCGTTCGCATGCCGCCAGCCCCCTCCCTTTGGCACACCCCTTACACGTCTCGTGGCCCCATGGGGAGTTCCACCGAAGGCCCCAGTGGCTGCGTTCAAATGCCGCGCCCACATGTCTTCTCCCGCTTCTCCCGGTGCCTGTCAGCCGCAACGGGTTACATCAGCACGTTACCCGTTTCGTCTGACCTCAGCGCCCCCTGCGGGCGACCCCAGCGGCAGCGCCCGCATGGCGGCCCCGCCTCATTTCCGCGCTCCCTTCACGCGTTTCGTGGCCCCGTAGTGAGCTCTACCGAAGGCGTTTTTCACATCGGCGGTACTCGCAATTGCATATGGCTGGGTCCTTCGCCATGATAAGTTTTTGTTGGGTTGCGTTCAGCGTCAACTTGCTGGGATTTGGCGCTCCAACCGAGCATTGTGTCTGTCTGGCTGTTAGCTTGTCAATATTTTCAGCCTCTCGTCGATACTTGTTGAAGCCTGGGTCTTCCACCATCCGTGTCTGCGCCGAGGCTGTTGAGCTCGGGGTTCCTCGAGGCGAGGTGTTCCTCACCACGAAGGCGGCGTTCGCTTCTCTCATGCTTGGCGGCGACTGCGGTAACCGCCTCATTCGTGCAGGGCGTTCCATCCGGTCGTTGCCTTCGGAGCAGCTCGCTTTCGGCAGACGCCGGCGGAACAATGGCAGAAACCAGCGAGAGCGAAATTGAGGCGTCCTGTTTTGGGAATTGAGGGTTTCTGGAGTCGGCGGTGTTCGCAATGCCAGGCATTTCGAGCAAGCGGCTGCAGCGCCACGAGCCCCAGCACGACATCGAGACAGTGCCTTACCTTTGTGATATCCCAGGAGCTCTGAGCATCGAGCCATCCACTGGACTTCGATAGTCGATCGAGCTCAGACCACGACATGTCTCGAAGGTTGTGCTTTCTATTTCGGATATCTGGAAGTTCTTCGAATCGCCTGCGCTCCCCAGTCGCATGCCCTGGATAGCAGATCCGAGGGGTGCTCGGATGGATGGCATGCTCTGCCAGCGCGGGCTCACAGAGCTGGACCCCATGGAAAGGAATCTGAGCACCGTCCTAAAGCGACCAGTGAGGGTCAAATCTATTTGCTTCTAGAAGACCAATACCTGTGGCTTATGCCGAATGCCGTTCTAACGTTCTAGCCATAAGCGCATATGGACACATTGGGTGTCGTTACGTATGTGTACACATTCGGGGTGGGTGCGTCTACAGGCAACGCGGCCGTTGCGTTCGACGCAGTACACGGTTGGAGAAAGGGTAGATCCGTCTACGGTATGTTCCTGTTCTAGCAGGTCCCACATGGTGCTTCAACCAAGAGCACACTTTGTCCTGCTCGTCCGTGAGATTGTGAACTCAGTGCCGCCACGACTGGCACGGGTGCTCTGGCAGCGTGCAGGAAGGTAGAATCGGGCGGGGCTAGGACCGGGATCGATCGCTTCAGAGCGTTCTGGAGCCACCGCGGCGGCCGATTTATCCTCCAGAACCGCCAGCTCTCAGAGATTACCGGGTTGTCCCGGTTTGATTGTGTCCCATTTCTTGCTTCGTCTTGTTTCACGCAGGGGCGAAGCGTCCTGACTTGCCCATATGCCCACCAAATAATGTTATGATAATCTTGTGTGGTCTGCACGAAATGTTCTTAGAGCATGTCTGTCGAACGCAGTCTTGTTTGAGCACGTCGGCACCCTGGTCTAAGGCATAACGTGAAAACTCCTCGCGTTCTCAAGACAGTCCTCCGTTCCGAGAACGTTGTCCTCGTAGGCCTCCAGGGATGCCAGGACGGTCGGTCCTTGCTCAAGCTTTGGCAGCGCGCAGGCAGCTGGCAGGAAGGTGGAGGGCGCCACCTCCGCGCGGCGGAGGCGCCAGGGCGCGGCAGGGCAGCGCCGCCCTCCCGCACCGCTCCGAGTCTGGGTCTGCCGAGCGCCCCTCGGCGCGGCGCTGCTGCGCAGCTGGGGCGCCCATCGTCCTGGCAGCAGGATTGGGGGAACAAAAAGCGACATAAACATACAAACTACAAACTCGGAGGTCCGCGCGGGTTTCTCGGATCGGCGCTGGACCCCCCTCCCTGGCGCGCGGAGCGCGCCAGGGGCGGCGCCGGAGGCGCCGCCAGGGGGGTCCAGGGCCGATCCGAGAAACCCGCGCGGACCTCCGAATTTTTATGTTTATGCCACTTTTTTTGTTCCCCTATAGATGGGGCCCTGCCCTGCGGCCCAGCCGTACGCCCTCAGTCTCTGGCGCTCCCCCCTTCCCTGTCCCCAGCGGTCCCCTTGCATCATCGGGCGCTCTGCCCGATGACCAACCAGCACCTCGTCGTCGGCGTCGGCGTCGGCCTCAGCGTCGGCGCCGCTGGTCGGGCCGGTCCTCTCGTTCGGTAGCGAGGCACGGGAGCCTTCTGTATCCTCGTCGTTCCGTCCTCTGAGTGCATTCGCGTGCGATAGCTGCCGGCATTCGATGAGAAAGCGCTGACTTAGCGTCGACTAGCGTCGATCTAGCGTCGACTTAGCATCGATTCGCGTCGACCAGCGTCGGCTAACATCGGTTAGCGTGGACTCGCAAGAGCCAGCAAGACGGCATGCGAGGCTATCATGAACTGCCTCCGAACTCTCGCGCGAGGAAGTGCCCAGAACGGGCCGCGTGTGGGAGGCGGTGCGGGGACGACAGCGACGACTGCGACCACGGCGGCGGCGGCGACGGCTGCGGCGGGAAGCTTACCGATCTGAAGTATATCCCCGTCCCGGTGATTGGCATCACCTCGGCTCGGCGTCTATCTTGGTGGTCCTTTCGGTTTTCTGAACGGTCATCCTTGAGGTTGACCATCGCCAAATTAGCAACAAAAATAGTCAGGGGACGATTTTTTTAGTATTTCTCACTATTTATGGACATTGTTTGAGTATGTTTTAGTTTTCGTTCAAAATCCACATGTAGGAGGACATGCTCGACCTAAGGGTAGGGACAAGTTCGAGGCTCGTTGTCGGTGGTGTGCCGAGGGGTTGGTGGAACTGCGAGGTGGCAGGCCTCCTCAGAGGGCGGCGGGGCTTCGGCGAGGGCCTAGAAGCCTTCTCGAGAGGCCCTTGGCCTTCTGGGCCTTCCTATCGGGGATACGTGAGACTCGAGTAAGCTGGAACTCGGGTTTGCCGACGTTTTTGTTGACGAGTCCGTCCTGGATTTTGACGGTCCAGTTTTCGCGGGATGTTTGCAGCGGGAGCTCGCGTCAGATTTTAGGTTGGGTCTCGTCATTTTTATGATGGCCCTTTCAGGCCAACCCGAGTCTCCAGTACCCGAGTCTTACGTCTCCCCGATCCTAGAAGGCCCAGAAATCCCCGGGGGCTTGCCGCGGAATTCCGCGGCTGCCCGTTGGCGCAAGAAATCTTGCGAGTGGCGCCCCGCCGACCGGTGATGCGGCGCGGCAGCGCCGGCTTGCGCGATTGCGTTGGGTCCCCACGGGCGCCCCCCGAAGCCGCGCGCCAAAGGTTACACTAGCCCAGGGTCACTCCTACATGCAGTCGATTGTATGAGGTGGCCCGCCCTTTCCCCTGGGCGCGCCCTCCGAACCAAGGGAGCCACGAGGAGCCGGTGGGTCCACGATGCCTCCCCGAGCTGGGGATAGCCTCAGACCCTGGCGTCCCAATTTTTTTGCGAACCCAGTGCTGTCGTCGAGATTCGGGCCCTGGGACCCTCACAGATCGATCCGACTCGAAACAAGGCGCAGAAAGAAAGGGCCTAGGATTAAGTCGGGCCTGTCCCTCTACAGGAGGAATCTTCCAAAATAGCCAGAAAATAGTATGGGGACGATTTCTTGAGTATTTGTTGATCTTTTTTTATGTTTCGCCCAAAATGCGCCTGTAGGGGGACGTGCCCGACCTAAGCCTAGGCCTCAGGAAGAGACCTTCTGCGAAGTCTCCATTTTTTCCACGCCGTCGGATCTCCAGGGCCGGGCACGTCTCAAGCGGGGAGGGGGAACTCCGAGGCGGGAATTTATACATGACCACCGCCTGGAGGGTGAGTTTGGGCCGAAACATAGCCAGATCCACTGCCCTTCCCTCGCCTTCGCCTTTTGCAGGCCTCCCCGGCGCCCGCAGCGCCATGGCGGGATGCGCGTCGGGGTCCTGGTCAGAACGCCCCGCGGGAGAGGTCTGGGCAGCAGCGGTGTCGGGATGTTTCTGTTTCTCCAGGCAAGGGGACGGGAAGGGATCTTTACGTGTACTCGTCGCTGGCGCTATTTCAGTTTACTTGTGTGTGTGTGTGCCGCCTGGTAGCCTTGCTCGTCGACGTGGCTGGTGGCGGCTGGAGGGGTTCGTCAGGACGGCGTCCAGGATGAGCGTTTCTTGATTTTGAAGCCGAGGTTGGCCAGGGAGTGGCTTCACGTGTGCACGTCTCTCTTGCACGCGTGGGCCCGCAGGGCTGTCTTGGCCGACCAGCTCTCTTGCCTCCCGTGACGCCCGTGTGCGGGCGGACCGCCCACCTGCAGCCGCGGCGGCGCGCACCGCAGCGGGCGACGAGGTCTGCGCGCAGCCCGCTGCGCCTGGCCAGGCCCCTCCTGGTCCCTGGAGCGGCGTGGATCCCGGCCATGCCATAGGGGGTCATACACACACACTGCTCCTGGGCCCAGGATGTGGGCCTGGCCCAGTGGCAGTGGACATGTGTACATGCCCCCTGGCCAAGCCAGGGGGGCACATACACTGCTTCTGCGCCCAGGAGATGGGCCTGGCCCGGTGGCAGTGGACATGTGTGTATAGACCCCGTCGCCCCAGAGCGCAGAGAGAGAGCGAGCTGGCACACGTCCGAGGCCGGTCCCGGCTCAAGGCGGGCCGTGCCTCCCTCGCACCCAGGGCGGGCCGCGGTTCGGAGGCCTGGAGGTGGACGCCAACGCCAACATCTGCGGCGTGCCTCCACCGAGGGGAGAAGATCCCGATCTCGGTGATGGTGATCAGACAGTAGGGGCGCTCATCAAGAAACCATGTGCTGTTCGTCAGGGTATCCTGGTTTCTTCGCTCCTCGCGCTGCGCGGTGGCTTCCCGCAGCCGTTGAAGGAGCTGCTGCGTTCAGGGTGCTCCGGGTTTCCCCTCAGGTGTATCTCGCGCACGGGTTCTCAGGGTTGGTTTTTTTTTGCGAGGGTCTCTTGCGGCCGCGCCCGCTCTGTATTCTGGCTTCCAAGGTGACCGAACCACTACCACCAACACCGAAGTCTAGGATCATCTCCCGCCTGTGGAGGCAAACCCCTCTCCCTCCTCCTCTCCTCCCTCCTCCTCCCTCCTCCCTCCTCCTCCCTCCTCCCTCCTCCTCCCTCCTCCTCTCTCCTCCTCCCTCCTCCTCCTCCCTCCTCCCTCCTCCTCCTCCTCCTGTGTTGGTGCTGGTGCCCATTTCCAGGCCTCCGAGTGGGGGCTCGCGCGCAGGGCGCGCGCTCTTCCGCGGGCCGGCCCTCGCTCCGCGCGCGGGCGGCCGCGGCACATGAGCTCGAGCTCCTCCAGCAGCGGTGGCGGGCCGGTGGTCGGCGACCCTTCGGAGGGTGTGGTTGCGTCCGGGTGTGGTGTGCGATTTGCGCCGTCGTCGGGGGCGGAAAAGAGGGGGGTGATGACTAGGGGGGGGGGATATCATGGCGGGGGTCATGATCTTTCCGCAGATTTCATGGCGCCTCTTCTTATTTCATTACGTCCCTGGCCCCCACGCTGGGCGGCGCACATGCCGCCGGTCATGATTTGCACACCCCCCTCTTGGACACCCCCCTCTTGGCCGCTCCCGATGTTGGGGTTGGGGTTAAGTCGGGCATGTCCCTCTGCAGAGGGAGTGTTCCAAAACAGTCGAAACATAATGTGGGGGACTATTTTTCAAGTATTTGTTTGCTGTACTGCTGAAAACTATTTTTTGTTTTTCGTCCAAAATCCCCCCGTAGGGGAACAGGCCCGACCTACGGTTGGGGTGGCCTCAACGTTGCGTCAAAGGTTTGATGAGCTCTCGTCGGGGCGTGGCAGGAATCTTTGTCGAGGTCATCGCCCGCCCTCCCCTCCCCAGGCGCGGGTTGCAAGCCACACCCTTTGCAAAACCACACCCTCCGGAGTCGCCGAGGTGTGTGCCTACCTGACGTTCCATGTTAGGATCGGCGGCGCCCACAAGTGGGTGGCGCGAGGGGGTACTCCAGATTTCGTAATAAAAGGGAGGGGGTCTGGACCCTCCAAGACAAGCCATTTCAGACCCCCCCCCGTGGGAGAACCCTCCGGAACATCGTCCCCAGACCCCCCCAGGCCCTCCAAGATAGCCTGGAAGAGACCCCCCCCCCGAAATGAGACCCCCCTCCCTTTATTACGAAATCTGGAGTAGCTTCGAAGAAGGCGGGGGTGGGATTTCAAGAGTGCGGGCGTCTTCTTCGAAGCCCTCGTGGCCTCCAGGGAGGCCTTCTTAGAGAAGCCGCTGGGCTCTTTTGAGAAGGCTCCCGCCCGCTGCGAAGCCCCCCCCCCGCCTTCTTGGGAGCCACCCCCCCAGCGCTGACCTGACGTTCCATGTCAGGAGCTCAGCGGCAGGGGGGGGACGCATCGACCTCCAATCGCCGATAGGGGTCGAGTAGGGGATCGATCGCAGCATGGATTCACCCCAGAATCGATTTGTATCTCGAATCTTTTAAGCCAATGCGTAGACTGTTCCGTAGATCTGCAGAGCATTCTATGCATTTTTCGTACCTTTGACGGGCAACAGGAATTATGTGGTAAATCAATCGGGTAGTCGATCCCCTTCTCGAAGGGACTCAATAGCCCACACCGCCCAGGAACTTACAATTTCGCCATCGGGAGCCCATCGCCGATCCATCGGGAATGTATCGCCGATGCCAGCGCGATGTTTTGCCCTCCTGAGCCGGACCCCCTTATTGATGCCCTTCAGGAACGAGGCGCTCGCGGACTTCTGCGATGCCGCTGCTGAGCTTTTGGCGGAGTCCCGCGCCACCGACGACGGCTGCTTGCGAATAGAGATGCACCGGGAGCTGGACTGGGCGCGGCGCATCTCCAATGACGAGTTCTCGCTGCTGCTCATGTGCCAGGAGTGGGCATCGGCCGCCTGCTTGGAGGCGCACGTCGGATCCGCCCACTCCTGCCGCTTCAACGACGCGGTCGTGTCGGGGAATATGCTGGTAACGGAGCCGAGCGCGAGCATCTTCGGCACTCGAATAAGAAACACACACATGAGCAGCAGCTTTTGGAGGCCCGCGTGGATCCCTTGGAACGGAGCTGGACCATTTTGGTGGCTCCCCTGACGCCGCCCCTGGCGCGCGCAGCTCGCCAGGAGGAGGGCCCAGGGCCGATCCAAGAGACTCGCGCGGACCTTCGAAGTTTGCGTCCCTGACATCCGCCGACAGGATTATTTCAATACGCGGCCCCGGAGGTCCCGACCGCGTCCCCGGGGGTCGATCTTTGTTCCAATCATGTTTGTTGATGGTCCAGGGCCCGTTGCAACTGTCCAAAAAGCGCGTGGCCCCCGCGCGCGTTGCTCTCTCCCTCCAGCCGCATGGCAAACGGAAGCGTTCAGCCCGGGGATCTACGCGGTAGGGTAGATTGTCGCTAACGTCGTGTCGGGACTCAAACCCTAATGCTGGAACCTGGCCGCTTTCAACGGCGAGGCAGGCCATAGCTCCAAGGAGTTAGCTTCGGCCCAGAGGCGGAAGCAACCCCAATCATAGGTTATCAGCCGAAACAGTGCTACGCACTACACAAGGTGTAATACCCAGGCGCGCCAGAAGCGAGCCTCGATGCCATCATTTCCGGTACGTTTTCCGACGCGGGGGCCCTGCAACAGGTTGTCCGAACGCAGCCAACGGGGCACGGACATTCCGGTAAACCGTGCAACAGGTAAAAGGCAAAGGCCAAACCCAACCGCCGCGAGCTTTCGACAGGGCTCCCGCGTGGGGCAAACTGCCGCTAGTTTGTCCAGGCGCGACGAGCTCCCGAATTGATTCGGATAACAGGAGGTTTACTTCCCCCCTTGCAAACCAGATGTGCATCCGAACGAGTGACGGATGAAGGGGTCGCACGCTTCATTGCGCACATAAGCGTTGTAGAAAGCCCGTGCAGCGCCAACAACTACAGAGCGGGCCTGATCAATATGATGCCAGACAGCTCCTACCGACGCTGAACCCACGCGTGACGCAGTTGGAGCATAACAGTACTGAGCTAAGTATGCAAGTCGTTCAAATGCAAGAATCTCTACGTGTAGACATGCAAGGCAAGGTTCAGGCTCTATGAAGTAGGACCGAACCGCGCGCGTTTGCCAGCGCAGACCTGAGCGGCAGGGGCCGAGAACAACAGCGACCATCACCGTGCAAGCATGGACCGAGTCCGCAATGACTTTGCCGCTGAACTGGGCAGGACGGACATGATGCTGAAGCAAGTGGCGACAACTTGCTCCGATCACCACCCGAAAACGGCGATTCAACTCGCTGCGATACCATGGCGACCCTCTCCAGTCATATGTTTGTTTTGACCCACTTGGGCGCGGCGCGGGGGACGGCGACGCCTTGCAGCCGGCGGCGGCGAGGAAAATGCCGGAGTGGGGAGTCGCGGGCGACGCCCATCCGCGCCCCTTGTCGCAGCGTTGCGTGTGCCGGGGCAAGTCGGAGCAGGGCGACTTGTTGCCAAACCGTCCGCAGAAGGTGGGCCATCTGTTGGGCCCCAGGCCTTTTTGCCCGCAGCGCTGCCGTTGAACCGCCGCAGAACCGCGAAGACTGGATGGCAACGTCGCCGCGACAACGGGATTAACCTGCAACTCCTGCTCTTGCGCGGGCTCAGACATTCTTGCAGGATTTGCGGGTTCAGCCCCCGAATGCCTGGCAGCGACCACCCGAAGGAAGGCCCTCGGTCGTCTGCGAGACAGGCGGAGAGCCATCTAGCGACTGCCACTCAGCGGCAGAAGATGCCGCGCAATTGCGGAGGAAGAAAAGCAGGCGAAAGAAGTGGAGACTTTCCGCTTCGAGGTCTTGCCACGAGCCCAATTTCGCTGGGGAGTTGGAACAAGGCGCGCGCGAGTGTGCGAGTCTGCGAGTTCAGTTTCGGGCAGACCTGACAAAACTTCCTAGTGATTTCGCGAGGCGGGATTTTGCGCGATCCGTTCCATGCGTTCGCTGGCACGGCGACTTCGATATGCTGGGTGCGAACCCAGGGGATCTCGGTTTGCAAACTTAGTCCGGCGCGCTTGATGTTAGTCCGGCGCGCTTAAGTTAGTCCGGGGCTCCCCGAGTTAGTCCGGCGCGTCGCGCGGCTATATATGTATACATACACATATATATATATACATATACATATGTATGTTTGCACATGTACACACTCACATATGCATGGCTATATCATATAATATGTATACATATGTATATATATACATATATGTATATATATGTATATATATATATATATACATCTATATATATATAATGTGCGTTTATACATATACACATGTTACATATGCACATACATTAATTGAATAAGTTTACGTAACCCAAAGTTGCTCTGGACGATGGCTGCAGCCATCGTCCAGAGCAACTTTAGGTTACGTAGGCCGCGTGTGGTTGGAGTCGACTGATTGGTTGGTTGGCTGGTTGCTTGGTCGGCGGTGTTGGCTGGTTGCTTGGTTGGCGGTGTTTGGCTGGTTGGATGCTTGGCGGCTGCTGTCGGTTAGTTGCTTGGTTGGTTGGTTGCTTGGTTGGCGGCTTTGGCTGGTTACTTGATTGGCGCCGTCGTTGTGGATTGATTGGTTGGCGGGTTGCTCGGTTGGCGGCGTTGGCTGGTTGGTCGGTTGGTCGTTGGTTGGCTGGCGCCCGCAGCCGCCGCGGCTCAGGCCGTTTGCGGCGCGGCCGTCGATCGACGGCGGCATTTATGCCTGAGGCCAGGAGGGCCACGTTCGGGGCGACGGATGAAGACGTGAAGAAGCTCGCGGCCGTGTTGGCCAAGTGGAACGACGCCCCTGGATTCTTGCAGTACGGGACAAACCCAGACAACGACAAGTTGACAGACAATGCCAAAGAGGAGCTCATCACAAAGGCTAGGTTTCTGCACGACATCGAAAAGCTGTCCCCCAACATGGCCATCCGGGAGTCAGCGGCGATCAGCGCGTTCTCGAGCATTGCCGCGGACAAGGAGCGACGCGGACAACAAATGGAGGGGAGAGGAGGGAGGTAGAAGGAGGCAGATGGTGAGGAGGAGAAGGAGGAGAGGGAGGAGGGGGAGGAGGAGGAAGAGGGGGAGGAGGAGGGGGAGGATCCCCCCCCCTCCTCGAGGAGGGGGAGGAGGAGGAAGATGAGGAGGGGAAGTCATCTCATTTGAATGCCCCCCTCCCCCAGAAAGCGTCGCGGGGGTTCGACGACGCATGCGCCGAGAAGTGGGCCAGTGACCGCGGCAAGATGCTCTCGTCGATGCTCGGGCCCGCGCGCCCTTCTGCCTCCTCCACCTCCTCCTCTTCCTCTCCCTTTTCTACGCTCTCCTCCTCCTCCTCCTTCTCCTTCTCGTCCTTATCCTCCTCGTTCCTCATTCCCCCAGCCGCCTCCTCGCTCCCTACTTTCACCGTTTCCTTCGCTCTGACCCTTCCCCCAATCCCTTTCCCTTGCCCTCCTCGCTGTCCTCGCCCTCCTCGGCCTTCTCGCCGTCCTCGTCTGCCTCCCGCACCCCCCTCATAATCCTCCTCCTTCTCTTCCGCTTCCTCCTGGGGATCCCCCTCTCATCCCAACCTTTCCGCAGGCATTTGTACGACCCTATACGCAGAGAGAAACATCATCATGTGCGATGCGGCTGGCTACAACGCTTCCGGGGCGCACAAGTGCCGTCGAGTTCGGGCGCGGACGCGCATGATGAGCAGGGCTGGGACTCGATCAGCGGCACGGCATACAGGACACGTCAGAACCGATCGGTCGCTAAACCATCGCTCGATCGTCGCCCGAATCGCCGACGCGTCGCGCTGACGCATCGCTGACGCATCGCTGACGCATCGCTGACGCATTGCCGACGCATCGCTGACGCGTGGATGACGCATCGCCGACGCATCGCTGGCGCATCGCCGATGCATCGCCCGTCTACTGCCCCGCCAACGGTCGGTGATGTTTGACTTTTCGGTTACCCCAGGAGGAAACGCGGTGAGAAGGTGCCAGAGACGACCTCGGATATCTACGAGCCCCCCGACGCGACAGAGTCAGACTATATGCTCGCGCGCTTCGCCAGCGACGGCGCGGTGATACAGCTGAAGACGCTGACCGTTATGCAGTACAAAGCAAGGTTTCTGCTCCAACTCCTCACGCATCCTCCCCCCCTCCCTCCTCCTGTTCTCTCCCCTCCTCCTTCTTCCTCTCTTCCCCATCCTCCTCCTTCCCCTCCTCCGCCCTCTCCTCCTCCTACCTCCTCCTCCTCCTTCCTAGGTGCCCCTCTCCTTGCCCTCGTCCTCGTCCTCGTCCTTGTCCTCGTCCCCGTCCTCCTCCTCCTCCTCCTCCTCCTCCTGCTCCACCTCGTCCTCTGAGCCACCCCGACGTGCTCTCCTTCTACTAGTACCTCCTCTCCTAGTCTCCTCCTCCGAAGGGGCGGCAAGGGCGGCGGCGCCAAGGGCGGCGCCAAGGGCTCCAACGGCACGAAAGGCAACGGCAAGGGCAAAGGAGGCAACATTCTCTGGAGTGGCGAGTGCCAGGACCGTCCGATGATAAAAAAGGTGGCGATGAGGAGAGGATGATGATGAGAGGATGAGAGGACGAGAGGATGAGACTGAGATGATGATCAGCATAGGCACGATAATCGAGGAGGAGGAGGACGAGGACGAGGGGGAGAGGCAAAGACGGGCGAGGAGGAGGAGACGGAGGAGGAGCGAGCGCCGCCTCGCCCCCCCACGCACAGGACGGCGAGACGGTGAGGGTGGAGAAAAAACTCCTCGACGCCAACAATCCAGGGCTGATCTTGAGGCTGAACGGCGGCCAGCGACTACAGATCTCGTTTCGCAACCTCGAAGAGAGCAAGGCTTGCCTCCCGTCGTCGTCGTCGTCGTCGACGTGGCGTCGTCGCCTTCTCCTCCTACTCTCTCCTCCACCTCCCTCCGAGAGGCTTCGAAGTGGCTCGTCAACTTGGCGAAATCGCACGCGAGGCGCGAGGTCACGCTGGACGCCATGAAGGCGGAGAAGCGCGCGATCGATGAGCGCGCG